ACAGCTACTTTACAACAATTCGAAATTGAAAATTTTCTTGTACAATTGTTACAATTATTCAACTTTGCAAAAAAAGATATTCCTTTTTTGATGGCTGGTACAATGTTTATATGGGCATATGTTATAACAGCTTCTTTGAGTAAGCGTTGGGTTCAAAGCATGATTATGTTAACAATGTTAGTATTATATATCATTGGGATTGGTGATTGTGGTGTTGTAGTTGTTGTTGATAAGGATGATAGTGTGTGTAATGATTGATTGATTGAAATGATTTTTATTTTTTCATCACTAATAAAGGAGCCAAGAATTTATAGAAATGCGATAAAAGGAACATTTGGTAGAATGATTGCTTCACACCAAGTTGCTTTAGAAAATGTTCCTGGTATTTAATTCAGATGATATTATAAACATCTAATTATAACATCTAATACAATTATAATAATTTTTATGATTTTAGCATTTTTTACAGCAATAATTATTTCTCATGCAAATAAAGTTCACTTAAAATATAGAATAAGGTGACAATTCATATTTAATCAATAAATTTATTTGTCATCATCATTATTATAATAATTCATCACTAATCTTAATCATAATTATAACGATAGCTTTTCAATTATATACACAATATTAAGAATTATACACACAATTCTTTATATTTTGGACTTTGATATTGCACGTGTAGCTGTACACATAATGGCATTATCATGCACTGTTTGGTTATTTTCCTTTGCTCTTATACCAGGATTTGAAGATTATTACTCAAATGTCACTGATGTTCTTAGTTTATTAAAAGGTGTTTCTGATGACGTTGTATGGACTTTTGATTAATCATATAATTAAATATATTTATTACTATTATTACTACTATTATAGAAAACAATTTTTAGAAATATATATAGTTAGATAAGAGGAACTTGATGGAACATTATTATATTTTAAATAGAAGAAAAACAATTATAAAATAAAAATTAAATAGCATTATGATTATTATAATTGCAATTACTATAATTATGCTTGCTCTCCTCTTCCTATCATTCCTTATTATTCCTTTCTGTTATTCCTTCCTTCTATTATCTCTTCTTCCCCTCTTCCTAACACACTTCATCTGCCTCCTCCTATTTATTAATTGTTACAATTTAGGTTTACAAGTATCACCACCATCAACAGTTATCAATGCACCATTAGTAAATGCGCCAGCTTTACTTGCCAAATAGATACAAGTACCAGCAAGATCTTCTGGTCTACCAATTCTGCCCAATGGTATACCTGCAACTATTGATTTCCCATAATCCTCTAAAGTTTTTTTCATCATCTTCGTCTCGAATGGACCTGGCAGCACACCATTAAATGTCACATTACGTTGTGATAAATGTCCAGCCATGACTGTGGTCAAATGGTTTAGTGCCACTTTGGATGCATCATAGGCATATGTTTCTGAATATGGAACTTGGATGCCTTTAATAATTTATAAATAAATAAATTAATATTTTATTATTTCATACAGGTTATAAGATATGTATATGTTTTAGATGTTATTACCACTAATGGAACTTATGTTAATTACTCTTGTGGGATCTTCTGGTGTAGCAGCCTTTTCTAATAATGGCATGGCACTATTTCAATTATATAAAAAAATATAAAAATAAATATTATATTATATTATATTATATTATATATGAATAATATATTCAAAAAGTAATTACACTTGAGTTAAACTAAAGACTTTTTTAAGGTTCAAATTCATTACTTTCTAATGTTTAGAAGAGAGAGAGAGAAACAACATTAAGAAAATAATATAACCTTTAATAATAACAATAAATATTATATTAAACATTTACTTCAAAGGCTTCATCAGGATATTTATCAAATTTTTCACCCCAATTTGCTCCTGCATTATTAACTAATACATCCAATTCTGCATGACATATAATAATAATAATCATAATTAGTTTAAAGAAAATAAATTTTCAATATCAATCAATAAGATATATAATATTATAAATCACAATGTTTTTTTTTCAATTCCTAATTTACAACACTTACTTCCATCTTCTCTTTTCTCAATTTCTGAAACCAATCTTTTAACTTCACTCAATTTTTGTAAATCTGCTGGTAAACTAATTGCTTCACCTGGGCCTGATAA